TTTTGTCTGTTTGTTTGCATGGTTTTTAAAAAACAGTTTTATATACATATATGTATTAAATGCCCTTGTTTTATATTTCTTCCTGTCAACTATTTAATTAGGGGGCAATAAATGCGGTGCAATTCAGGATACTTTGCACATATTTAGCATTTTTTCACAGATTATGGGTTATGGTTAGCTAGTTGTAGTTTGGCTGTAGTCGACTTCCATACAATCTCGTTTCGAATATGTAAACACACCTAACACCAAAGCACCTTTCTGTTTTTCCATACCTTTTTCCCCCTCCTCCTCACACTTTAATTTGTGCAGGCTCCTGGTAAAATAATTAAAGCCAGAGCCTCGGGAGGAAGCCATTTGTTTCCCAGAGTCAGAGGTGAAGAGGGGGAGGTCAACGCAGTAAGATGCTGAGATAGATTCTTAAAAATGTAATCAGAGTTTGTTGCTTTTTCACTTACAGAGGTTACAGAACAGCTGTGTGAGCGGAAAATAATTAGGATGAGCGATGGCGGAGGGGAGGAGAGAGTAAAGAGGTCAAGAGTGAAAGGATCTCATTACAAATAGGTGATTATTAATTCCGGTTAAGACCTAAATAAAAAAATACACTCGAACTTCGGCACGTTTTTTTTTCTTCACTGTGTTTAAATGTAAAGTGTGAATTTGTGTTAAACCGTAAGTCGCCATATACAGTCTGCAGGTGATAAAGATGAATTGTAGTCCTGCAATACGTGCTTTTAATATGTCTAATGAATATAAATATGGACGATCTAGGTATTAAAATGTTAAAAATTATGAATTTTAACTCACAGAACCATCCAGTGTGAATAAACTTGAAGTCTTTATGAGCAGATTATCTCACTCGTAGTATTTTCCAATGATTGACTTCCCACTTAACTGATTAATTAAAGTGCTTGGCAGGCTTAGAGGATAACTGGAGTGTAAAAAAATGATAAATATTGGAATAGAAACAGAGTGTCAAGAGCCTTCTCTAACTTTCCAGCGCAGTGTTCAGTACAAAAGGCTTCAATATTCATTGTTATGCAGTTGTACTGTTTGGGGATCTGATATTCTTCAAACTACAGCAACAACAGAAAGCATACGTCTGTGAAAGTGATCTTGAGGCTCTTTCCATTAAAATGGATCAACAGCAAGCGTATTGTGATCAAGTTTCCACAGTTAAAATGTAAATAAGGTGCATGCTGTATAAGATTTTTACAGGACAATCCGTAACTCCGCAGATCTTCAGTGCATCACAGAACCAATCTGGGTTTTAATGAAGCATCGACTTGACTTTCTCTCAGTTTGTTAGACTCGTCACTGTCAGCGACAACATCTCAAAGGCAAGTCGCATGTCTTTCTCAATAATTATTGTCACCCTTGCAGTGGGAGGGGACAGCAGAGAGCTGCTTGTTGTTGTTTCACTGCTGTGCTGGAAACACAGAGATCCTGTTGGTCTGAGCTCAGAGTAAATGTT